TGTACTTTTTACACTAAAATCGATGATGTATTTACGGAGGTTTCGGTTATCGTTAGAGGAGACAAAAGCACATTTTGTTCCTGTCGGAACAAAATGTCATATGAGTTAGCGAGATGGACACACGATGACGTGCGAGTAATACGTTCCAGGGATTTCTTATAGTTCCCGATCTTCGGTCCTGAACTATGTTGTCAACACTTCCTTTGTTTTATATTGCGCAATCGGTCGACTCAGATGACCGTCGTGCACGTTTCCAAGGCTTGCGGGTCATCATGCTCATGCATTTGCGCGTAAGACTTTAAGAAAATGGTTAAACAAGCAAGAAAAAAATTTCAATGATAATGCAACTAGACAGTTGGGTCTGTCATGAAAAGGATCGCAGTCTTAGAAAGAAAGAAGGATCTCCTCTGAAACAATTGAAGAATTAAAACGGAGCGAGGGTCCCGTCTCCAATCCCATGGCGCTCCACATTGACACTCAAGTCCGGTTCCCGCGTTCAAGGATGAAAAGCGAGAAAACATACGGCCTTGAAAAGTCTAATATGATCAATACAGGATTTCCGAGGGATAAAATAAGAATTAACTGAAACAAGAATAATAAAAATAAGATAAAATAAGAATTCTCTCTTGCTGAAGTAAGGTTAGGCCAGTTTTTGTTTCTCCTTTTTTTCACTTTTGACAATTTTTATTTTTAAAGGTAAAGGTACTTATTTTACGTCGATAGCTCGAAATAATCATCATCTAGCTGTCAACACAAACATAAAAGCATAGAATAAATAAATAAATAAATGGGTGGAACCTATGTACAGTGTACACCCGGGGATTTACCAATAGGTAGGCCTCTCACTTCAGGGGGTAGTAATAGGCGGGATCTAAAAACTGGGATTCTACTGTATTCTATAATCGCCCAAAGTTACGGCGACTTTGTTTGTGCTGCCTTTTTAAGATTTAAAGCCCTTGATATATTCATTAAAAAAAATCAACCACTTATTTCTTTCAGCAGTTTTTGCGCATGTCAAGCAGCTTTCGCCGGCTTCCGGCAAATTAACAAAACAAACTCATTAAAATGTTTAGCTGTAATCATGTATAGGTTTTTTTAGCGTTTTCATTTCTTGTTCATTAGTGCCCTGCGAGCAGAGGTCTTTCGATTCAAAAGCCAGTAAATGCTGCAATTAAGGCAGCTAGGTTTATAACCTCAAGCGCAAAAAGCGGACCACTCCGCAACAAGAACAGAGAATGCCAAGTGTTTGATCTAATTACAAATTATAGCGCGTTTAAGTTCAAGCTTGATGCACATATTATGGCCGTTTTTTGCTAACCTTTAGCGAATCGGAATCATATTGCATTTATTGCAAGTAAACCAGTTCGTGTAAGAACTCAACACTCCACTTTTGGCTTTAAAACAAAAAAAAAATGCTTTTGCCTTACCTTGCAATTGTAAAAACTGAACCAGGTGTCTACCACTCTTTGACTTTGTTAAGTCTCCAGGAATTTTTAAAACTAAGACTAAAAGCACTCATGATTTTTGAAAACGTCTTTCAGCCTCGTTAAGATTTTACGGACCGACAGAGGAGCTTGGCGTCGTTGTTCATCTTTGCATTTATATTTAACAAAAGAAAATAGCTCGTTGAGAACAATGGAATTACGTAGGCTCTAATCTGTTACGTCAGTTACTCTTTTTGGACGATATTAACGATCTTTTAAGAAAAAATATACCGGACAAAGATTTCTGTCAAGACCTGAGTATCGATATTATAATTACTTTTTTCGAAAGACAGTCACCCTTTTCCTTTCAAAAGTTGTTCATGTCTCAGGCTCGAAATTAAATGGATATTTTTCTTATCTTGTTAGCATGTATTTCTTTCAGAACATTTAAAGTTGATTACTTCACTACAAAATTGCTTTTGTCATCAGTCAAAAGCAAACATTAAGAACCCATTAAATCCCGGCGTGAAGACGTTATCTCTTCGAAACCTCTTCGTAAAAGTGCCTTTCATCTTTTTTTTAAAAGAACAGTTTTAAAAACAACAGTTTTCTAAAGGAAATGACGGAGAAAACAGTTTGTTGATGTACAACTGACACGTTAGAAAAGTCAGGCACGTTTTACATTGCACCAATGCATAATTTTCTTTTCCAGAAAAATATCTTCAGGTGGGCATTAAGATCATGATAAATTTTAATTCAGCTATACAAAATAAGTGTTAAAATACCTAAGATTTGTGTTATCTTTATGGTCGGGCGTACATGGAAATGTGCACGTAACCGAGAAAGACTAACATAAATAAGAAGATTTATAGACTATGCTTTCAGAAAAAAAAAATATAGTGAAAGCCGTGGGACTGTTTTGGCTAACATCCTAAATGGAGTACTAAAAACAATCTTTAACACTAACAGTGACTGCTATAAGTTTATATTGGAGCTCAACTGGTAAGCCCTAAACTTTCAATTTAGCTGTTAGAAGACAACATCGATGAATGCAACTGTAGTTGATAAATTTAACGTACTGTAGAGAATTATGCGGAGCCTAGCAAACTAATCAACAAACTAACTAAAGTCAGTAATACAGTCAACCGTCTCATAGCGACCATTTTCGGTAAGCGACCAGCTCCCGTAAGCGACCACTTTGAAAAAAAAACCCTTTTTTTCTTAGTGAAATGGTGTTTCAAAAACTCTCTCGTAAGCGACCCGTACTAATTTTCTTAAACGACCGCGACCTCTTTTTAAACAAGAGACCACCCGACCATGATTGTAAGAAAACCATTGCTCGAATGTCACAAAAGTTCAGTTTTTAAAAGCGCTGACCAAACGTGCTGTAAGATTACAGCAGCTGACTTGCAAGAAGAATGGCTATAATACAATCTGTAGGTAAAAAGGTGCATTGAAACATTGCTGCAAAATGTTATCAGTGTGTTTGTACAAAGTTTCAACAGTTCCAAGCGCTATTCGATGTGAACCATTACTGCCAGTTGTCTGTTTGTTTAAGGACAAGGTTGTCAGGTAATAACTTTATGTAATCAAGTTCATCAGTTCAATTTGAGCTTATTTTCTTGATTTTTCCCGTAGACGAGCACCCCCTCCCCTTTCCAATGCCACCACTTTTTCGTGCACCAAGGGTGGTCACTTACGAGCGCAATGACTGTATTATGACATCGCAAACTATCATTCATCATCCGCACACTCTTATCTGAGTTTACTCTGATCTACAAAACCGAGTCGAACAGCATGTATCTTTGAAAAAGTTATGGAGCAGTAGAAGCCGACGAAATGTAACAGTTAAACTCTGATTAAATGAAACTGGTTGTAAGAGCGAGCATGATACTTACAGAATATATACGGCTCTGGATGGTCAAACACCTCCCATTCTTTCAGCAATGTAGGAACAATCAACCTTATACGAAGGCCGCGCCGAAAAGAACAGGGGCGTACGAACGCTCAGATGCTCGCGTGGATGTCACGTGCGCATGTTCCAAATGTTGAGAACCTTAAAACAGATTCTCTATTGTGATCCAAATAACTCTTTTTTAAAAAACGAAAGTGTTGTGTCAGATGCCAGATTACGATTGTATTAATATTTTCCGCGGTGATTTATTGGGTTCTTGCGTAGAAAACCATCAGTTTAAAATTTTCAGTTCAAACGAGCGCAAGAAAAGGTGATTAAGATGTTATTTTGGCAGGCGAAGCTACACTTTATTCAATTAAAAAGCAACCAATTTATCGAAATTCGACAAAAAAATAGTTTTGAATTAGTTTTTCTTTTTTTGCGCGGTTTTTTTTTGGCATCAAGCTTTTGCTTTGCACAGGCCGATCACAATATAAGTTCAAGTTTAAAATGCTGAAAGTCTGCTTTAATTTCCGTTTCGTCGACTGCTGAAACTTGACAAATCTTCATAAACTTGCTGCATCATGTTTTTTTTTTGCTGAAATTAAAAATTCCTTTTTTTCCTGGAAAAACTTCGTGTACACTTACCGCCTAGCTAGTAAAAATCAGTATCGGTTCTGATCATCGCAACACTCAAATTCGCTTTTTTTTATTAGGGAAGATAGACGAATCGCGATAAAATTCGACTAACTTCATTACGGCGCTTTATAATGATGGCTTGTTTGCAGAAAATATATTCCGTATTAATGTCATCTCAAATCAAATTAAGTTTACAATATTGAGGGATAATTTATTTGTATTTGATTGCTCTCTACTGATTTTGAAAAACAAACGACCCTTAAAACCCGCACTGATTTCTAAGGACGAATTTTTGCTGTCATTTCAAGACAGCATATTGCGCAGATTTTAATACGTTTAAACTATAGCTGTATATAAATATCCATTGAGAAATTGTGGGAACCACGATATAGCTTTGACTTTTCACATTAAACACGTTTTTTCACGAACTGAGTCTTCTTCAGCCAGTGTCCAATTTTGGTGTCTTTTTTTGGTTCCCAAAAGCTCGAGATTCAAACCATTTATAACTTAAACATCTATGACAACGAGGAACAGTTATTATCAATAATGACGAGGTTATCTCAAGACCATTAATGACCAAAACAACAACTCTGCAAGTGCATTCCCTTTTTTTACATTTCTTCACCAACACTGCACGAATACGGCTTGAGTCTTAAGGCGACGTTTGCGTGTTTACATAATGCCAGACCGACCGACTTTTTCTTCAAAAATTTCACCTGGGTCAAACCTTTCAAACTCTGTTTATGTTTCATTAAAAAAAGTTAAAATTTCCGGAAAGAACCCTAAGTGTCAAAAGCTACTTTGCCATTCTCTCAAAAATACGCTTAAGGGTAAACGTCACGCAGCATGATACTTTGCACGTTGACCTTGCACGTGCGTAGGTTATACATGCCCTAAGAAAGAGCATTTTCTAACATAATATTAAACTAAAGTAACTATGAATATGAAGGCCGGTTTTGAATCGTAAGTTAGCGTTGAGGTTCTACAGAACACTTGGAACATGACAGTATTCACGGTTACTTTACCGCTGTATATATACAATCCTAACTGACGCAAAGTCCGTTCTGCGCGTTTCTCTGAGCGTGTGTAAGATTGAGCATTTCCTAACAAAAACATGAACATAAATATGGATATGAAGACCAGTTTTGAAACGCAAGTTAGAGTTGACCCTCTATCGCATGACAGTGGCATCGGGTACTCAAGGCTACTTTGCAACAGCATGAAAAAACGAAAGATTGACCCCGTGTAAGTCAAATACCCTAACAAAGAGCGTTTCCTGGGACGTACAAATTAAAATTTGAAATAAATATGGATGTAAATAAGAATGTGAAGTGGGGTATTGAATACCTAGTAGAAGTTGACCTGGTTTCAAAGAACTGAAACCTGGTATTCGTGGATTACTAATTATATTAGTTGCCACTGTATGAAAAACACTATGGACGTAGGACTGAGGAAAAACTTGGTCAGCGTGGCACGTGCTCTGCCTCTTGCTTTCAACTAATACTGAAATTGAAAATTTGAATCGGAAGACACACTCAGGTAAAGTTCAAAAGTTGCGCTTGACTACTGTAAGCGTTTAATAAAACCGGAAAAAATACCGTGATCTAAAAAACTTGGTATATCGAGCGCCTAGACAAAGAGAGTTGAAATTGTGATGTTATCTTGTATATGACTTGAGGTGCACCTCGATAGTTTGAATTTCTTGTTACCCCAGATATAGGTAGATGATTTTTACTAAAAATGTTAGTGAGCTTTGAGTTGAGTTATGAGTTGCAGCTGTGCCGCAGTTAGTTTCTACGATCAGTGGAATTACTACGTACAAAACTGGCACTTCCCGGAAAATCTCCGCATCGAAACTATTACGTTTATGTTTCAGGGAAAAAAATCTTCCAAAATTTCCGTAAAACACCCTTGGCGTTCGTGGTAACTTTACTGCTGTCTGAAAAATGCCACGGGGGTAAATATATAACCGAAAAGCCATACTTAATAACAATTTAAATTAAAACTAAAATAAATACTACTAACATATGAAAATGAAGACTTGGTTTTAACAGCAAGTTAGAGTAAACCCGCATACTGAGGTGGAACCTGGTATTGATGTTTTTTTTTTGTTGTTCATTAAAAAACGCAGCGATGATAAAGCTGAAGGAACTAAGTCGGCTCGGCACGTGGCCTTGCACGTGCGTAAGAATAATACATTTCCTAGCATTTTGAACAACACCCTTGAATAAATATGAATATAAATATGAATGTGAAGACCCGTTCTCTTAGCAGTTAGAGTTTACCTGTTTCCGAATAATCATTATGGTTCAGTCCTTTGCCAGATTGTGCGTAAATTCAACGGAAGGCCCTTGGTCTGTATCATGAAGGGTGGAAACCTTCATACAACTCATTATCCCAACTCTTTCTGTCAAGCCGCCCATTATAAAAAGTTTGTTTATTTATTGCTGCTTTTTAATGGTTCTACGGCTTCACGCGCAACCTTAGATCGGCTTGAAATACAACCACATTTCTTTCTCTTGGCCGCCCACTATACCAAGTATTAATGATTTTAAAAGCTTCCAGGCACGCGCAACCTTTGAACTTTAACTAATGAGCTCGCTAATGCAAATTTCCCATTCCTTTTGGCTGCACGATTATAAACAAATGGACCACCCTGGCGTTTACGCAATTTTCCCGTGGATATGCAAGCACGAGACGAAGCACACGTGCATGGAAAATCAACCATAGTTACGTAACCATTATAGCTGAGCGCAAGGTACGCTGGGGTAACGATATCTGGGACAACTAATTGTTTTTACGAGACTTCTTACAGCCGTGCAACGTCATACGTGACCAAAATCGTTAGAAATTTGATACAGTTTTAATAATTTTGGTCAGTTTTGAAAAATCTTTGGGAGATTCGGGATTTCCTTAAAAGGTGATTTAACTACACTTTTCGAGAAGAAGAGCCGTAAAACATCAGTTTTTGAGGGAAATTTTACTGCTTTCGGCCACGCGTAAACCATCTTAAATGGATATTCCTTCTCGTGTAGACAGTAGTATAATGCGCCCGACTCTTGTGGACAATAGCCTATAAACGCTTCCTGAAGAAAACTTTCTCTCGATCAGTGGTCTACTTAGGGCGATAATGTCTGTATCTGAATTTGAATCGACCATAGAATCACCCTACCCCAAATTACTGACTTGAAATTTTGAATGGGCTTTAAAAAAAGAAAAGAAAAAAAAACAAAAACAGGGGTATAGCCCAAATGTTTTGTTGGCTACGCACAGAGGCAGATTTTGCCTTTGGGTAATCGACCATGCATCACCTGTCGATAGCTGTACAAAGATTGTTTACAAACAACAAAAAGACAAATACTTGCCCTTAGACTTTACAAAAAAAAGTGTGGCGACTCAAGTGAACTCATAGACAAGTCTTCGTTTAATATGAATATAAAAAATTACAAGAGAGGAAAAACTCTATAAAGTATTTCTTATCCGATCCAAAATTTTTTCCGGCGACATTATTTCACTAAGTACGCACGTGTCTACTGGTGTATACAGGTCGCTACCCCACTCACTCTGGAAAAATATGCAGCATTCATCTATTTAAATGATTAAGACCACAAATGCAATAAGTTCAGTCGGATTGCTTATATATTACACTTAAAACTAAGGTTCATGTGTGCCCTTTTCTCGCTAGTCTTTAGTCTTAAGATGAAAGAGAGTTGCACACTAAAAATTTCCCTATGCATGGCTAACTGCATGTGAGTTAGACCAGTTTCAACGTTAAGTATGTGCAGAGATTTTTCTTGCGTAGAGGTCCAACGTGATGTGTGAAAAATAACAAACATTCTTCAAAAGTAGTTGCTTTTATACCAAAATTCTCTTAGTTTACTAAATTGTTTCAGTCTGAAGGACTTTAATTCGTACAACGATAAAGACGGAGTAACCGGCCAGCGCTGTCAAAGTATTTTTGTTCAAACAAAGAGCATTTGAACATACTGAATACTCGTTCATTAATGTAACACTCACCGACTATGCTGAATATGTTTCCCCAATTTTTTACTCCATCGTAAATGAAATTCTGCGAAATAAAAAGGAACGCCACCGGCGAAATCTTTACATTGTGTATATAGACTGCATTAGCGTCTACAGGGCACCCTGTGTTTCATGCAAAGCTTCAATGATTGGTTGCTCAAGACTATTGTTTTAGTCACTTAGTGCGAGACATTCAAGTGCAAATTTCTTATAAAATTCAGCATTAAAAATCCATTACATCGAAGTGGAAAGTTTGAGAACAATTTTGATAAAGCCGTAAGCTTACCGAAAAATTGTCATCCCCCAGAATTCTGGATACTTTAGTGCCACGTTTAAGGGTAAGAAACACCCATACTGAATAATTTCAACTGCTTCTCTTGTTGTTGTTGATATTAAGAAAACTGGCTGACAGCAAATGTAATTAACTAACTAAAGTCAGGCAAACTTCGTTTTCTAAGGATTTCTATTGAAAGTGATCCGAAGGGCTGCAAGGCGAGTTTTTAAGCACCTGCCATTTACTGTCCATGAGGAAAATAAAAATATAGCGATGTATTTTTATTATCAGTATTTTTATCTCGTTTCCTGATAATTCCAGATCGAGATAAAGAAACCAATATATATTACCATAGAAAGAAAAAAATGCCAGTCTTCAAGTTCCTTCCATCTCACTCATGATACTCATTTAATTTCACTAAAATCAAATTATGGTGATTCCAAGTTGTTGTTTATCTTTTCTGTCTTATTTTCTTTTCTAGGGATTTAATTTTACATTTATTGTTTAAATCTGTGAGGAAAACGAAAAACGGAAATTATAAAGGTCAAAAGCCGCTGATATCTTTCTTCTTGGAAAGATGGCTTGTGGAAAAGAAATATGATAAACCACATGTTATGGATTATGTAGTAATTATCTTTACCTTCATCTGTGAATTATTTATTTGATTTTTTTATATAAAGCATATAGAAACCGGATTAAGCAGGCACTAAAATCATTCTCTTTATTTTCTTACTTGATGGAAAAACTAAATGTGTAGCTCGAGAATTTTTATTCGTCACACATACACGAAAAGGATGGACCGTCTGTTTGAAGATGAAATTATTTTAGAACTGCAGGTTTGCGCACATAATCTTTCAATAAACATTATTATCCTAAACCACACTATTCCAAAAACATTGATTATGTAATAATTACTTCAATAGACCATTTCCGAGTTCCAAGAAATTTCATTTTCAAAGCGAGGCTGGCTAAGTGCAAAACCTTTGTTGTGAAAACGAGGTTTATTTGTAGAAGAATAAACATCATTTTCACATCATTGGCTTCACGCTAAGAGAAGGATGGAGGCAACATAATATATATATTCCCGACTGCGAAATCAGCCTTGCTTCTTTTGTTCGATAATTCAACTTAAAGCTGATTAGATCCTTTATTAGGATCCGGTCGTTCTTTTTTATAACGTTGGATTCCTTACTTCCAAAATTGAATTAGGAAATGGCCTATTAAGCACTTCAAAGAAAACTTCGAGGTCCAAATCAAGGTCGCTCTCAATCTCGTTCCCAGTCGCCGTCAGCAAGTTCGGATTCGGCGACACCCACTCGAACAGCGCGAAGAGGCTGGGTCTTCTTCACCATCTCATTTAATAATCCAATCTGTTTGGCAGCTTATTCCGTTCTGAACCTCAACCTTGTGGATAATTCTTTTTTCCTTTGTTTTTTCTCTTTGGCGCAGTTTCCAGGACTCTGACTCTCATAGTCTGCATGCTTTTAATTTTCGCGAGATCAGGGTGTACAGAAAGCAGCGGTGAATTCTCGTTGTAATGTCAGTTAAAACTTTTATCGAAAACAACCACAGTTAACTTTGCATTCCGGTGTGCCTGATGGGTTTCAGTGAGAGGGACCTTAAGTTGGCTCGATGGCTTTTTCAGGGTCAATATCTGCCAAGTTTGATCATAAACTACGTCGCCATTAACAAAGATTTGGAAAAATTACCACCACAGCTGTACAGGATAAAGATTAAACTTTGTTATGACCAGGGTTACAATGACATCAGAGTTGTCACAGCAACGAAATGACGCCATTACCTATTTTACTTGTAGCTGTATTTCTGGGTTCGTGATTGGATAAAACCCACAGGAGGAAAATTCCTCCTTGCAGGGGATAAAAGTCATTTGCGCTGGGGCCAACTACCGGAACCGGAAATGAGACGTGAAGGACTTTGAGGAAGTCTAAAAGGTGACGAAAACAGAATAAACTTTTGCTGTCAACTTCTGGGCATTTTTTTCTGCTTGTCCTGGCACTTTTTTCTTTAAAAGCTCATTAGCTGCATATCTCCTCAGGATAAAGGGATAAAGCAATTCTAAAGAACCTTTGTTCAACTCCCTTACGTTTTTGAGCGACGAAAGCCAACCAGAAGTGGACCTTTTAAATTCTTGGGCAGTGGTTTTGTTCAAATGTTTGGGCAAATCGTCTCTGTAAGAGTAAAGACACTTAGCAGTGTTAATTTAGTGGCGAAAGGCCTCACTTCCGGTAGTCTACTTTTCAGCCGTTTTTAGTGTCGTCACGCAACGTTTAGGGAGGATCGTTGCGTGACGAAACTAAAAACGGCTGTGTAGCAGACAACACTTCCGGTTGACGTTCGTCGCTTAAGAACTCCTGAGCTTATGCTTCCTGAAGAGACTTACATTAAACAACAGTCCTTCCAAATAGTTGTTCTACAGTGTGCGAATCAGCAGAAAAAACAAATGCGTGAGAATCAGTCATGAATGCATTACCATGCCCAATACGCTTTCTATTTTCCTTTTTTGACTTGGATCGTTTTGGGATTTCGGCATCTGCTGAAACGTAAAAGAAAGTCTTTGTAGACATTCTTCTTTCAAGTTTCTAGTTTGTTTTTAATCAACTGAGTTTTTTTTGTACAATAATATTGTTTGAAACTCCTTGAATCATTTTTTTTTTACTATTTTACATATAGAATCTTTGTAACTTATATTTTTTATGTAGTTTTTCGAAGTTTTAATTCGTAAATAGTTTTCCCAGTTGTCACTATTCTACCCACAAAATTTTTACAGTCATTCTTTGCGTTCATTTGTCTTCACTTGTCATATAGACAAATGCACGATACAAAAATCTATAATTACGGAAAAGGACGATTTATAATAGGGTCGTCTTGTATGGATATAAATTATTACCGTTTCTGATGAGTGAAAATCGTTGCGAGAAATTTGTTCTGGGGAAATTTTGGTAACGTTCCAGGTCTGATGCCCGTAGCTTTTTAACTAGAATTTTGGTGTGTTCTTCTTTTGTTATTCTGCTAAGCAAAACCCGGGGGGACTACAATATAAGATCATATAAAAGAAAGAGGGATACTTGTCGGAAAACTAGAATTGAACCCCTAAAGAAGACCAAACTGGGCGTGTCTCGGGCTATACTTGACCACTCAAAAGCAGAATGAGCAGGAACCTAAGCTCCTAGTATGAAAGATATTTCTTTACGCACAACTCTAAGCGACACTTTTATAGGCATTTTATAGGCTTTTCATGCTGGACATCATAAGTGACAGGAAGCGGGACGACTAACATCCGCGTCACTTTTATATGGGCGTCCACCCCCTGGGAAGCATAAAACCACCCGTCACTTTCTTCTTCTTCTTCTTGTTCTTGTTCTTCCTCTGTTTATTTTATTTTGTTTATTTATTTTATTATCTATTTATTGTGGCTATGTTATTTATTTCATTGTCAATATAACAGGAGCCCATGACCCGAAGCGAGCAATACCAATATAGGACAATAATCGTTGCGTTTTTAAGGTTTGGTTTAATTTAGATACATCTTAGAGAGCCCTTTCTGCGTGAAACTTGGAGATCCGCTCCCTCTATGAGCGCATTCGAAGAAAAAGAATACTAAACGTCATTAAAAGGTCAAAAATACCATTTTTAGATCTGCAGGTTTTGCCGACTGGTTTGTAGGACTCCTTCTAAATTCGCGATAAAATCATTCTAAAAATAAAGTGGTTGGTGAAAACGCCGCGACACGAGTGTATGGAAGTTGATCGCTCCGGGTTATTGTCTCCTGATGTATCTCCTGCTTCGTCCAAGCCTGAACTACAATTCCCCCCTTTCACAGTCCCCAATGTGGTTTTTATGTCGTTTTTTTTGTTTCCTAATTGATGAAACTACAAACGTGTGAAATGATTATAATTGCAGACGACCAGAGAAACCTGCAAACCTGATCTCCTGGTTGCTATCACGCATGCACGGTCAGTTTGTAGCCAGCATTTCAGACTTCTAATAAGATCAAATTCCGGAATGGAATGCATAAAACGCAATATGATCACGCGCGTTTGGACTTTCTATCAATCGTTCTAGCGCGTTATCACACGTGATCACGCGTGAAAGGTACCCCTTTCGGACGGAGCCTCCTCGTATAGGCCATCATGGGAAGTACCCCTCCCCCGCCCCTCGGGAGACACCTTGTATCGATCTCGCCCACACTCCCTAACCGTTGGATATTACTAGTTTTAAATGAGCTGAAAGACAACAACCTGTACATTATGTAACTAGCGTAAGCAGGGAACATTAAATCAATTATAATGATTAGCTGCTTGTCTTAGGAAATAACCGACACGGTGCAAAGACCAGGGATGGACTACCGAATGTTGGAATGTCTGGTGACAAAGCTCCAAACGAATATTCCTAGGCTACAAGTTTTACCAGAGGGTCCTCATCAGGTTTATTCAATCCCAACATCCCTTCCAAAATTTCCCAGTCCCACCACACCGAATACTTTTATTTGCTAATCCTGATCCTGAACATACGCTTTAGAGTTCAGATTTCCTCATTAATAGAACCTCCATACACAGTCAAATGTGAGGAGTAGGCTGCACACGGTAGACAGATGGTTGATTACAAGTAGGTAGTGTTACGATGTAGACATTTCCCAAATCTTGCATCGTGAAAGTGCCAAATTCGTGTCCAGTTCCCAATTTTATTTCCCAAATATCGCTCCCTTTCTCCGGTCGACCTTCAAATAATTAAAATCCCTGATCCTGAAAAACCTTCTGGACAGTCTTTAGTGGTCACGTGGTGACGCGTGTGTTGCATTTACTGACCCGTGTTCAGTCGGTTCCTCGCTACCTGACCTACCTCGTGGGAGAACAATCCCCCGGTTTCCACTCAAAATTCCCCAGAGAGTGTGGCGAAATTTGTCATTGATAAATGTGTAAATGATAGGATTATAGATCACAGAGGCCTTGGCCATAAGCTCCGGGATTTCTGATTCCCCGGATGTCATCACGTGATGGCCTTTGACCGTCGCCGTGAGGCTAACTAAAGCGTAAGGCGACCAACTTAGCAGGAAGGCACCGATCGTGACCGCTGTCATCAGAATGGATTTGTTCTGGTATTTCCGGCGTTGAGCTTGAAGGAAAGCATTTCCGGTCATTGGTCTGCGTTTGAGTGTTCTGTTAGGGATTAAAAAA